GTTTCTGAGCACTTTTACTGGCTTCCAGAAAATACTGTTAACCTCACGAGGCTGAGCAGTTCCAAATGACATTCAACTCAACCAGACTTCCCAGATGGACTGTGGAGTTAGAAATGTGAAGCATGCCAGCCGTGTTTATTTTTTATATTCTCTAGCTGTAAGTGTGTCACAGAAGGAAATACCACCCGTGAGACTGGAGCACCGCACGTGTATTCTCAGTTTATGAGCTTTCTTGACTGAGATCCTTTGTGAATTGTGAAGGTGACCCTGGGAGTGGGATTAGAGGACTGCCTGGGGCTTGTCTTCCCAAGGTCCCGGTGTACCAGAATTCACGTGTCAACTGATGTCACCCTTCTCTTCACCTCCTCCCTCTCACCCCACTGGAACTTCATCCAGGCCAGAGCTGGGCGGGGGAGAAGCAGCCGCACCAGCGGAGCCCTGCCCCCACTCCCTGGGGCTGGACGGGTGCTCAGTGACCGCCTACTGAGAGGCTGGGGGGCGGCTTGAGAAAGCAGTTTCCTCAGGGTGGTGAGACAGCTGGCAGCGGGAAGAAGGCAGGAAAACAGGGTCCTGAGCCGCGGCAAGGCAGGGAGCCTGGGTAGACAGGTCCCCCTGGAGGACATGGCTCACGCCTCACTGGGTGGCGCAGGGTGTCACCCTGTCTCAGTCAGCATCCACACTGTGCTGGGAACATCTGATGCCTACCTCACTATCACTCAAGGGAGCATGGGCCTCCGTTAACTGAATACTGCAGCATTGGTTAATGTGCCCCATGTTCACTCCCACATTGAATCTAAGCCTCAAGAAGGTCCACTTCTAGCAAATAGGGAAATTGAGGGTATTCCAACAACGAAACATACAATGGAAGAAGGGTTGTTTTTTTCCTCCTTCGTCAATCTCTTTGGTCAATGTAATGTTTCTGAGTTTAAAATAACATGAGAATTTACTCCAATAAAAAGTGAACATTACTTTTCTCAAAAAATTTAATTGCAGAACTATTTACAGGAGATGAACATCAGAAATAAAATGAAAGAGGCATTATTATAGAGGAATTTTGAAGCAAATGGTGAGCATGTGTTTCCTACAATTGGCTGAGAGTGAAAAAGTTCATGGGAAAAAAAACTAAAAAAAAAAAAAAAAGAAATCCTTAAATGCCTGAAACCAATGACCAACATGTGCTAAGAAGGAAGAAGGCGTCTTGGCGAGGAAGGGCGTCCAGCATGTCCAGGGGGGCGTCCTACGTGCTGCTACAGAGAGTTTATCAAAAGAATCGGGAAAGCGTGAGAAGGAGTTCCCTAAAAGAGTGTATCCAGAGGTGGGGACTGGGCTCTGTCTCCAGGCGGTGGTCCCAGGTGTAGGTTTGTTTATTTATATATGTGCACACCTCTGTGCAGGCCTTTGTTTTAAGCTCTGCCCAAATGGCTAGCCCTGTGCTAGCTTCCCTTGGACCTCCCCGGGAGGCGTTGGCGCCCCTCAGTCCACACTGGGTGTGCTAGCCTGCAGAGGGAGGGTGGGCGCTGGCCCCACCCTGTGACTGCTCAGAAATAAGAGATCTCGTAGCCCAGTCTGACGACCTGTTGGGGAAACCTTTTTGAATTTAGCAAACCAGCTAGAGAGAGGAGTGAGGGAGACCTTCACGCTGAGCCCTTTGAAAGTGATGTGACCAAGTCATTAAAAGGGTGGGGGCCGGGCCACGGTGGTGAAGTAGGGGTGGCCAGAGAACGGGGAGCGGGGTAAGTCACACAGCCAGCCTCAGAGCTTCCGTGGTTGTGCCCACAGAGGCCAGCTGGCTCGCGCCCTGAGGAGGCCACGGCTGCCGCCCGGGATCAGCACCTGCATCCGCCGGGCACACGCTCCCGCTCAGCCCTCCTGGCAGGTTTGGCCGCCAGGCCTCGGGAGCAGCACCCGTGATGAAGAGCCACCCGAGTCTGCGGAGGGAGGTGGGCCTGCTACCTTGCTCACATGAATACAAAGTACCCTAAAAAGGAGTTTTACAGCTGTTACCAACATCTCCTTGCAACAAAGTCACCGGCCGAGTTCAGATTGAACCTTGACCTAATTTCTTTTAATTCTGGGTGAAAACTCCAGGCCTAGGCCTCTTTCCAAGTGGAAAGGAGGGAAAAAGCCTATTTCTGGGCATCCACAGGCCACGCCACACCTCCGAGGTACACAGAGAACAAGGATGAGAAGCTGGGTGGCCGAGTTCACTCCGTTTGCCGGCTCCACCCGCTCTCTTTCTGCTTCCAAGCCAGGTGCGCCTCTTCACCTGGAAGCCTGGTCCTCCTCATGCATGTCGCCAGGCGGCTGGGCTGTGTGGTGGTGAAGCGCTGTCCCGGGTGGGCTGGAAACCAAAGCGAGCAGGAAAGCAGGCTGCCTCCCCTCAGGCCCCCACCTCCAGACCTCAGGAAGCCCGTCCCACCTCCTTCCACTCCCTCCTGCGGCCTGGTGGTCCCCTGGTTGTGCCCACCTTGACGTGTGCTGGCGCCTGACCCAGCGCTCTGGACCACATCGGGAGTGGTGCTGAGGGTGCAGGACCCCAAGAACACCCCACCCTGCCTGTTTCCCTGGAGCTCAGGGGCTTCAGAGCCAGCGTGCCACCAACCCTCACCTGTCTGCAGAGGAAAACACGGAGACCAACCTGACCAGAGGTGGAGGGGAGGGCAGGAAGAAAGCCAGGCAGCTTGACTGACTGCCTGCAGGCTCCAAAACATCCTGCAGCCACCCTGAGAGAGGGGCATCCAGCCTGAAGTGTAAAAGGTGCCCTTCCCAGAGTACCTCACAGCTGCCCACACCAGCTGCAGCTCTGCCCTGTAGGGCAGTGGGCGGGCCTTATGGTGAAGGCACAGGGATCTGCTATGAGCGTTAATTAGGACAGACTATGCAGGGGTGCAAGATGCCACAGATACCATTGCTTCACCCTGTAGCTGAAGACGCGTATACCCAGACACTGGCCGCATTTCCGACTTCTTAGGTTGGTGTGTGTTGATGTTATTTTCAAGGTTGGGAACCTATGTTTGACCCAAACCTGCCAGGACGGGGGAATACACGTTCAGACAAGAACAGGAGAACCCTGGGAAGTTCAAGGGAAGTGGAGTCTGAAAACTATGAAAACCATAACACGATACCAGGGAGGCGGTGTATCTTCAGCGACCTTATTAGTATGCTAGATCTGCGTTAAAAGAAAATACCAAGGCCAGAGCTTGTCAGAGGGCAGCTGGGAAAGGAGCACACACAGGGGAGCAGACGTGGCCGTGGGCCGGGGAGAGTGTGTCTCTGTGCTCTGGGGGCTCATGCCAGGGCCAGGTGCCTCCCACTCCCACTGTGCTTGTCTCTCCCTCCAAATGCAGGGACCAGGGTCGTCTCTGTCCTGTCACTGACCGAGGTCAGCCTGAGCCTGGCAGATGTGCACGAGTCGGCTTCTGTCCCTCTGGCTAGCCTGGGGCACTGTCAGGGGTCCTTCAGGCCTGAGCGCCATTCCCCAAGGAAAGTGACCCCCACCCCGGGTCTCCTTCAGGGTACAGGAGGGCAGCTGGAATCTGAGGGCACCACTGCCCACAGATGCTCTCTGCTCCCTGCTCACCATCAAAGCTTGGCCCCAACCAGCTGCTCCTGCCGAAAGCCCACTCGGAGTCACTGCGGAGGACAGCAGCCTTCCCTCCTGGGCTGGAGCGGGAGCCTGGCAAGCCCCAGGCTGCAGAGAGGGCGACGTCCTGTAGCAGCATGTGGGAGCTGAAGTGGGGCTTGCAGAAGGCCAAGACCAAGACGGACCCGGGAGCCCAGACCCCAGGAGCTCACCCAGCCGTGTGTGCTCCACCAGTGTCACCTACCCCAGACACGGCCACTTCACATGGGCCAGCAAGGAAAGACCACGGATCTCGTTTACATTTGTTTGAGTTTGAAAGAGAGGCCACCTGGCTGCGACTCGCATTTTTCTGGTAGTATGCCTTCCTTTAGTGTGTGAGACCTTCAGGATTGGACTGGAGGTGGGAACGCGGACCACACGTGCGGCCAGGGGCATCACCACGTTCTTGGGAAGGTGATCTAAGGAAGACTTGTGGCCACTGTGCTGACGACGTCCGGGCCACACGGGGACTCACGGGCGCTTGCCCTCTGCTCGCTGGGTCCTATTCCACCTGCGGAGTCTTGCCTCTGGGAGTTCCTGGGAGTCCCCGAGGCTCAGCGCAGCGCCACCAGCCTCGGTGTGGGTCCTCACCCTGCCTCCCAGCGGCTGAGAGCGTGAGCTTCCTGGAACGTGGCTGGGCTGTCCTCAGCAGCGCTCTCCGTCCACCTTCAGTCTTTCCTTAGTACTGTCTTAAACGCAGAGGGAAGACACCCTGGGACCCCTACGCCGTGAGCCTTCTGTCCCCGGGACACCAGCAGTCTCACTTCTTCCTGTGGACAACACACAAATCTAGCTTCTCTTCTGGGTCCATGATGGAAAGTCACCTGCAGGAGTCCTGCACTCACCAGGGACTGTGAGCAGGCGACCCCGGGTCAGGCCCAGCAGGAGGTGTGTGCACCGGGGCCTCGTCTTTGGGCCTCGTCGACCACACAGCGGCACGTTCTCCACTTCCAGGTCGTGACCACTGAGGCAGCCCAACTGGCTCACGGGGGATGTTAGGCCAAGGCTTCTGGGGACTATCCAGTAGCAAAGAGTCGAGGGGACATAGTGTCAACCCAAGTCCAGGGCCCACCTCACTCAGGCAGGAGTCATAGCAACAGGGATCTCAGCCAGACCATCACCCGCTGTTGTGAGCACCCACTTCTGTGTGTTTTGAGCAATAGAAGGCTGGCGGCCTCCAGGAGGTGGTGGTGGGCGGGGCCTGCAGGTGGCACTCAGTGTCCTTCATCTGGAGTGCCCATCGATGCTGCTTGTCTGTGGTCACTTCTAAATGGCACTTTCTCTGAGATGGCACATGGTTTTTAAAGTCTAAAAGGCTGATACTTACAAATATACTTGCTTTTAACAGAGTTAGTGAATATAGGAAGAAGCATCATTATTGTACACTGTTCAGGATTTAGGTATTTATTTAGGTAGAAAACGCTTTGAACACTGGGGAAATAGGATTCAGTTATAGAAGAATATTTCAGGGAATTTTTTTTTGCATTTTTCAAGGATATACATTCGTACTGATTTTTGCTTCCAAATATATTTTAAGGCTGTTTGGTAAAATATATACCAGATCTGAGGCTCACCTTACAGGGTTTTGTTCTTACAGGGAATTCTTAACTACTCAGCTTTAGAAAAGCAAAACTCTGCAGCTCAACATGCTTTGATATCAGCTGCGCCCAGGGAACCCCATGCGTAGTGGGATGTGGACTACGGGAAGAGGAAAGTGCAGTCTTCCAGAAGCCCCGCCCCTGCGGCCGCCTCTCGCAGCGACACCAGGGTCAGGCTCTAAAGTGCGAGTCAGGGGAAAACAAAGTGCTAGGGGGCCTCCACAGCGCTCCCTCTATGGCTGAGCACGGTGCCCCCCACAGCAGCGAGCAGGAGACCGGGCGCTCGGGTGGAGACGTCTGAGGTCGCCATCCTGCCTGCAGCCCCGAGGAGTGCGAGAGCTCTGAGGTCGGGGACCAGTGGGGACTCTGATGGGTCTTCACTTACGGTGTCTGAGTGGATTCAGAAGGCCATTAGCGACAGTGGCCACCACTGTATCTGCATTTAGCTGCACACGGAGGCCCACTGACCAGAGTTGCTGCTGCACTCTGGTGCCCATCAGAGTCCTGCAAGCTAATTCCATCTCTTAAATTCCACAGCGGGACATCACCACACATGACCCTTTCCCTCTTCCTGTCTAACACAGGCAAGAAGTACACTGCATAGGACAAGAGAATTCTGGAAAGACACAAGTGTCAACGACATGTCTCCTTTACCAGTTAAACTGCGATCTACTGACCACCCACATTCAGACTCCTCTACTTTTCACAACATCACAACTGTCATTTTAAACAAGCAGACTTTGTTTTTGTTTTAAGGACACCCTGGAAAAGTCAACTGAGAGAGCAATCTGAGAATGCATCTACACAGGTAAAAGAAATCACTTGTGGCGCAAGTGGTGACGTGAAGAGGGTGCTCTGAGTCGAGTTTTGCGATACAAAGGAATAAAGATGCCGTGACGTCTCCGGAAGCGGGCGCTTCTTCTTGCCTCCCTGGGGCCTTCTCTGAGCTCCGTCGCTGCCTGTACCTCACAGCCTCGGGGAGGGATGTGGGGCTGAGTTCTTAACGTGTAGGTGCTGAGCCGGGCGTTTCTAGCGCTCAGACTCGGAACCTCCTGGGCTTTGGAGAACACGGGGTGGGGAGCTTGGGGGTGGGAGGGACCCCTTCCCATCACCAAGGACCCACACGGGGAACCTCTGCTTCTGCCCGTGGCAGCAGGACGGGGTGGCAGTGAGGGCGAGGTCAGCTGGGCTCGGGGGAGTGACCTGAGGTCGGCGAGGGAAATGGGTCTCTTTCCTGCGCTTGGTGTTGTAGCACCTTCCACGGGTGTCTACGGCCTCTCGCGAGTGGTGAGATACCCATTTGTAGTCACGTTGTCCTGACCTAGTCATCACACGATTTATAAAAATATAAGTAACAAAGTGTCAGCTGGGGTCCGTCTCGAGAGGCGCGTCCTCTGAGGGCCAGAGGGCGCCAGGCCTCGCCAGGCCGAGCATCAGAGCTGGGAGCCAGCCCATCAGGTGCCCAGGTCGTTCTTGCCAGAGCTCAGCAAACCGAGGACAGGGGAAGCGGTCACCGTGTCTGTGGTACCAAGGACACAACAGCAAGGGGGACTCGTGGAGGAAGGAGACAACGACCCGGTCGGTCGGCAGAGACTGTACAAGCATTTGTCCAGAGGAGCAGCGAGGGGCCGCCCGTCCTCAGAGCCGGGTCTGGGCCTCAGGGATGTAGATCTCGATGCTGTCGGCGCGCTCCGTGGCCGAGTTCTGTCGGAAGGAGGCTGCTCTCTTGGCCGCCAGGAGCCGCCTCCGGGCTTCCTGGCGTTGTCTGTCGGGCAGGTCCAGGGACTTTTCTCTCGTGATGGGGAATTTCCCTTTGGGGGGCTTCTTTGGTATTGGAGGGGGGACTTTTCTTTCCTCCTGAAAAGCATCAAAAGTCAAAGCTGAGGTCAGAACTGAGCACTGCTGTCCGGCCCTGGGTCACCGCACCTCTGGGGCCTGATTCACTTCCTCCTGAGTGTGCCCGGCTTCTGCCTCTTGTGCCTCCTGCCAGGAAGAGCACAGACAAGAGGGTCCCAGCCCTTGGCTCCGCCTCACAGACGGCCTGACTCTTGCTCCTCTGGCCACGTCGGAGGACACAGGTAAGGGTGGCACGGTTGTGCGCCTGACACTCGGGGTGTGGTGGGAGAGAGCTGTTCTGCTGTCTGCCTGGTTCCTGGGTGTGCTTCCCACGACAGAGGCCGGAAACAAGGACCCTTGCCTTTCTGACATGCTCCTGAAGCTCCCTTACTAAGACCCTTCCGCTGTTTAAAACAGATCTCCTGCAGCAGACACAGGACCCCACTCCTCCTCTTCTCTGGGCAGCCTCTGAACGGCCCCAGGAGAAGCACATTCCCTGTGCGGTCCCCCCCTTCAAGGCCTGCTCTGGTGAGGAGGGGATCAGGAGGCCTTGCAGAGCCAAGCCCCGTGGCAGGAAGACTCAGAGGGGCAGGGCTTCTCTTTTGGGGGGTGCCTGCAGCTCACGTTCTGCACAGGGGCGCTGTGTCCTCAGCAGGAGCTGGTTCTTACTTGGGAGCTGTTCTCTGAATGCCCTGGAAAATGGTCCCGTGCTGGCTCTCGATGACAGAGGAGTAAGTCCAAGAAAGGTTCTGTGTGGTCTCCATTGGAACAACCTCCCACCGGGGCTCAGCCCTTGGTTCCTCCTTTACCTCAGCCCCAGGCCACGGCTCCCTGGACTTGCTTACCCCACTGACCCTCTGTAATCTGACGAGAGCTCTGGTCTGTTGTCCTGGGTGGCATCTATGTCTGGCATCTGGCCTGGAACCCCACTACCTGGCCCTGGCACCTTTGGGGGGATTTAGATGGCAGTGAGGACCCCCAATGCATTTGCTCTAATCGTTCAGCTGACTGTCCTCGTCTGTGCGTTCCACCCCTCCCCAAGGCATGCTGCATTGGCTTTCTGGGTGGCTTTGTTTTAATTGACAACATCTATCTGGAAACAGCGACCTGAACCCTGCCTGAAGTGTGCTGGGACGTCTCTGTATGCGTCACCAGCTGACCGTCCCCGGGCTCTGCGGCAGCTGCTCCATCCTGAAGGGGTAGGCCAGGTTTTAGTAACTCGAGTCACATGGCCAGCCCAATCTGAAGGACTAAGGCTGACACAGCCAAGGAGAGGGCACCCTCCCTCTGTTGATGAGGCCCAAGGTGCTGTCTTGCTTCCCACTAGACACACAGCCAAAGGCCTCACTGCAGTGGAGCCCGCAGAGCTGGGCCTGCAGCCTCCCCTGCAGGGAACGTCACAGTACCACTGTCTAAGCAAGAAAAGCTTGGAGGATTAATCCCTGGAAGGAGTGAGACTGCCGTCTGGCCCGGGATCTGGCCGGGGCCTTGGAGCCGTCCACGTGCCGGGAGGAGCACACTGTGACCGACATGCCTGAGCCACCAGTCCCACCCCTGCACGTGTGTGCACATAGACCTACAGGGCTGATTCCACCCTGTGCTGCTAACCTAGACCCGGCTCCACACGGCGGTGGGAGTGGTCGCTTCTATACTGGACTAGAGGCCAGGAAGCCACCCTACAGCCTGCAGGGACATCGCAGCACACGAACCTTTCTCTCCGGCGACTCTGCCACCTTCCAGTCGTTGAGCTTCAGCTGCTGGAGCTCGTCGAACTTCATGCTGACGTCCTCGATGGACAGCTGCAGCATGTCCCAGTAGCCGGCCAGGTCCTGGGAGGTGGGCCTCGGCATGGCACTGGGGTCCTGTGGACACATGAGGAGTTTAGAGCCTGGGACGTGCTGGGCTGCTCCTCCCCTGTGCAACTCAAGGACTCAGTTCAGCGAGGCCCAGCTCTGGGGCTGCAGGTGTTGGGGAGGCTCTCCGCCTTTGGTGGAAGCCCCCTTAGCACCTGGGTGGGGTGGAGATTCAGACACAGGTAGCTCATCCCTTCCCTGTTACACTTGGAAAACGCTGGGGCAGAGGCAGAGAGGAAACCTTTCGAATCCTCTGCAGCTCACACACAACAGGGCCCATGGTTTGGTCTCCTGTGGACTATCAGGAGGGACGATGGGCTGGCTCATCTGCTGGGCTAGAGGTGGAGATGGTAGGTGGGAGGAGGGCGGCTGGAGCCAGGTCTGCTGGTGTTTGTTCTGAAGGATCTTAGCTCAGATTCTCTGGGTCGGTGACATCTTACAAATGAAACCCGTGATTACTTTACTCCTAAGTAGAGGGAGCACAGGTGAGAAGGCTCCTGAAGGGACGGGGGGACTCACGGCAAGGTCCCTCATCTGGAAGGCCCAGGTGATGGCCCTGGCCAGGCCTGGGTGGTCCTGGGCTGTGTCCCTCTGCCCAGTGCCCCGTGGTGTCTGCCCTGGAAGCAGAGCAACTGTTCTGCATGGGCTCACCTGGTTTGGTGGGAGGCCAGCTCAGATTGGCGCCTTAAGCAACCAGACATTCATCTGAATTTGCTTAAAGGGTGCAGTTTTCAGCTTGCTCTTGGTAGTCTGCACTGATCACGACATACTCAGTTTGCAGTTCCTCTAAACTGGCTTGACGTTGTGTCAAAATGATCGTTTGAAGCACCATCCCACCTGTCATGTGCAAGCAGATGGCAGCCTGTGCTACCAGCTCTAAACCGGATCCGCCTTGGTCCTTGAGCAAGATCACCTTATGAAAGCATGCATGCAATGTCCCATCGAATGTCCTCTAAGCAGCATGGGGTACGCTTGGCAAGGAAATTTTGATGCGTCATTCCTACTTGGTAATGGCCCTCAGCAACCAGCGAGGGGCAGAGGGTCAGAAGAGCTCCCCACTTCCCCTGGTATTTTCCCACCCAAGCAAGATCCAGAGCTGCTTTCTGCTGCGTGAGTGTTCTTCCTCTGAACCACCAGAGGGCGGCCACGGACCATGCCATCGTGCCGGTGTCCTGCAGGATGCCAGCGTGCCTCTGTTCTGTTACTGTGTGGCAGGCAGCTGAGCCTCCAGCCATCTACGCAGCCTCACTGGAGGCGTGCCTGCTTTGTGGGGCCCCTCCTAAGTGTCTGGGAGGGTCCTGGCATTCTCTGGGGTCCTGACTTCGGCTACCTGCCCAAAGCTGCCTGCCACTAGCACTGCTCCTGTAACCTGGGCCATGTGCTCCGATGGCACCTGCTTCTGCTCTCAGCGGGTCTCTCCTGCCAGGCCTCAAGAGGGTTCAGAGCTCTTTTGTGCTAATCCTGGATAGAAGTCCAAAGAGAAGGAAGGGCTCAAACCCGACATTGCTAATCTCAAAAGGCAGCAAAGATATTAGGGTGAATGGTTTTCAGGCTGGCATAAGCTGCCATGGGGGAGAGGACTGTGTACTTGACAGGCTGAGGGGATGCTGACCCACACGGGGTGGGTGAACCACGTGCTCCTGGGGGGCTCTTGGGGCCTCCCCAACTCTGCACAGCACACAAAGTTCCTTGGTGGCTAGCCACTGCCTTTAAAGATAGTGGGGGGTGGGGGGCACAGGGCAGGGGTGATGGACACACCTGGGGGCCAGCGTTTAACCAGCAGCCTGTATCTTTGAGGACTCTAAACCTCCCACTCTGCTTTTTAAGTGTCCACTAAACTTAATGCCACAGGCGACATGTTGGGAATCCACATCTTATGATGAACTTTAATGGGCAACTCGGAGAACGTAGAGAAAACACACTGAAGGGTCCTGATTAAAAGATGGGGTGGGCAGCTTGGAGGTGCCCTGCCTCTGACTGGTGGGAATGTCCAACTCAGTGTCTCCAGGAAGGCCGGCAATGAAGACCACGCAACTGGAACACCGTGGCCCTGCCAGGACCAGCTCACCTCCTGGAAGTCAGTGAGCAGAGCGCAAAGCTGCCTAGGAAGTCAGGACACTGTTCAGCTGGTTACCACACAACAGGTGAACAGTTCGTTTAGTTAGAAAAGTATGTAGGTGTGTGTGCAAACAGGAAGAGTATGCGAACATATTGGCATCTATGGTTTAGCGTGCGTGGGTACATTGATAGCTGGGCACACTGGTAGCTCTGGAGAAGCGTGCACAGTTGTGTACATGTGTATGGAGCAGGTATCAATCTGCGTGTGTGCAGTGTGTCACACCCATGTGGCTTTTCCTTCCCTTGGTTGCCAAGAGAACCGGGTTTGGTGCCGCTGCAGGCACACATCTGGTTCCTGCAGACTGCTAGTGACTGCAGAAGGGGGGCTGACTCGTTCCTGCCACCTCGTCCTGGTCTCTTCCAACACGGCGGGGCAGGCTCTCCACTCCAGCCTCAGATTCACCTCTCCTCTCCCC